TAGGAGAAGCTGCAGTTGAAGTTGAAACAGCACAGTATATACTATGAAATGAACTCAGTGAGATACAGGACAGCCCCATATGTGCAAAAATTTGGAAAACTTTAGTAGCAGAGCCACCTGCAAACAAAATTGCCATAGACAGTAAAAAGTTGCCTGCAGGTCCTTTCTGGCCAGACACAGTGATGTCACAACTATTTCAGTGACAACCTGTCTGGCTTCTACCAAAGGATAATCGGCTTTGCACGAATGACAGAATCTGAAAACAATATGCTTGGGCTCTGTTCTAAGGTCTTCCCCATACAATGACAAACTGCAATATGTTATAAAACAAACCAGTAAGTGTTGTATTATTGACTTATACCCTTCCTTCCCCCTCCAAAAAAATAATAAGTTAAAAAATTAATGATAAACAAAGAGATAAATATTGTAATTACATTTCAGATTGACCCGCCWATTCTTCTTTGGTTAGTGGTTCCTCTTCTTCTGATTCAGTCTCAGTAACATAGAGTATCATCATCGTCATTGCCATCATCACTGGAAACAGAATACTCTTCCATGTCGTCATCAACTTCGTCCCATTCCATGTCTTGTGTTTTTTCAATCATGATAGGTTTTTGTTCACAATGTTCAAGCTTTTTGATATCGCTCTCAAGTTGTTGCACTATATTTTCCATAAACAAAAATTATTTGTCAAGCAAGACATGCACACTCTATAAAATGAAACTTCCCTATAGTGTATCATAGGAAAAGACCGAATACTGATAACCAACACATCATAACATGGCATACTGGTACCTTTCTRATGGGCAAGTGCTAGCTTCTCCTTTAATTCTTTAACTTGTGTCACTTGAACTCGCCATCTCTCCCTCCACAACACTTTTCCTCTCTTAAGTCTTAAGAGCACGAAGTACAAGGTTGAATATATTTCTTGAAAGGTTACAAACGGTGATATCAGTCAGACGAAATTCAAACTCTAAATAAATGAATAACTAAAGTATTTCGATGCCTCAAAAAAACACTCACCTTTCGAATAGTTTTGTCCTCCATTGTCCTTTGTGTCGTAGCATCAGCGTTAGATGGAATAGATAGTTTTAGAGTTTCTTCTCTTACTTGTTCAACAATGACAGGTTGCTCAGTAATTGAGCAGTCTTAATCAGGACGCGAAGTCAATGGCGTCTCATCGACTGTGTTACTTGCTGACGTCGAAGCTTCATCTCGTACTTTCTCCTGATACTCCTCCATTGCAGTCTTTAATATCTGTTATTGTAGTTATAAAGCATGCATTGAAAAAGGTTTTCGAGGAATTACCAATGGGGTTTCTTACCTTGCGCTTTTTACGATCACTCGGTTCACTCTCTGTAGCACCAGTTCGCACAGTTAGACAAACACAAATGCCGATCTCAGTTCTTTTCAATCGAGGGATCACAGGCTTTTCGTGTCCAGGAAGAAGTGTAAATCGTATAGTGAAGTCTTCGGGTTTAAAATGCTTTGAACATATTGAAGAGTTCTTAGTTCCTTTAAAGTTTGTCCGCGTGGCGTCCACAAACTTCACCCAGCTTCCTCAGGTGATTTAAGGCTTGGCACGGACATGAAAGCGAGTCTCAAATCTATTTTATTTTATTTCTTCGCGAATATTTTATAAAATGAAATTTCTTTCAATGATATAATGAAAGTACAGTAACTTGATTTTTTGAAATAAATTTAGATTTTTTTAAGCAATTCACACTGCATGAATGAACGCATTTAAGTTAAAAGTAAACGTGATGTAAATGTATAGTAAAAACAAAATTTAATGGAATTTACAGTGATTTGTAATTTCCTCGAAAATTTCAAATTTACATAGAGTTTAAACGTCATAGTAAACTACGTAAACGCGCACTTTACTATAATAGGAAATCTAACGTAAATTCCATAGTAAATGCCACATTTCCAGCTTGCCTAAACTCAATTAAGAGACAATGTCCACTAATATCAGACATACGTGGCAAAGCTTGTTTTTTCGATTTTGCTTATATTTAAACCATAGGTAGGCCTTGTCATAAGGTACACCACTGTGTATTTGGCTTTTTAAAAAAATGCATTTTCGGGGAAAAAATGGCCAAAAATGATTTCGCGCCAAATCGCCGGTCTGAGATGCGTAATTTTTGGTCAACTTTGTCGGCTTCGTATCACAAAAATACGATCTCTAATGACTGAAAACTACTATTGAAATCTTGATACATGCTTTAAGTTGTGTTCCAAGCTTTTTGCTAGACTTTCAACTGCTTTTGGATTTTTT